GGGGTTGTTAACCAATGTCATAAAACAATATGTGTACTACTGTTTAATGAGAAACTATTTGTTCTGTAAACCTTCACCTGAAGTACAATAAAAAAAAAAAACTAAAGGAAAATCCATTTTAAGAGCAAACAAGATGACTAGCTCATTTGCCATCAAATAAAGTATAATTATCAAAAAGATTGGCCACAAGAAAAAAAAAAAAAAGACAGATTGCTGGGCTGCACTCCCAGAGCTTTTGACTCAATGAGTCTGTGGGAAAACCCAAGAACTCTCATTTTTAACAAGTTCCAAGGTGATGTGATACTGTTGGTCTGGGAACCGTACTTGGAGAACCACTATAACAGAGACTAACTGGAAGGAAGGGGAAGGGACTTCTTTAGGTAGGGCAGTCCAAGAAAACTTCTCAGAGGAAGTGGTACTTGAGTCAGGAGTGGAATGAGGAAAAGGAGCTGGCCTTATTATAACAGTCTGGGCAAGAGCAGTCCAGGCAGAGGGAACACTGACAGGGCTTGGCCTGTATAAGGAACTTGAAGGAGGTCAGTGTGGCCAAAGCTCAGTGGGAGTGGGTGGTGAGAATGGCCAGAGGTGAAGGCAAAGAGATGGGTAGAGGAAAACCCATGGAAAGCCTTATAGGGCATGGGGAGGAGTTTGGATTTTGTTCTAGAAGCAGGAGGAACTGTTGGAAGTTTTTAATCAGGGAAAAGTCATGTTCTAATTTAAAAGGGGATGGTCAGGATGTTGCTGTATAGTACCTGGAGGGAGAGGCCCATGGTCTGGCATAGGGCAGTGGAGGCTAAGGAAGTGCCATCCTAGGAATTCCAAGCTCCTGGGCTCCAAACCTCAAATTTGACATACCCCTAGCCCAGGGCCATAGGGAGGCCCCAGGGAGGGACTGAGGAGAAAGAGGGCTAAGGGAGTGAGGAGGAAGGAAAATGTTCCTTGGGTGAAAAGGTCCTGAGGCCTGTGCAGATATAACCAACTGAGAAGGCCCAAGATCTCCCAGGTGTAATCCTGCACCATCCCCGCCCACAGGCTGCCCTTGGGGATTTCTTCCTGAGCTGCCCTGGTCATGCCTTGTAACCTGATTTCGCTTAGATCAAATAGAGGTGTGTGTGTGTGTGTGTCCATGTGATTTTTTTCCTCTCAAACACCTCTAGTGTAAGTCTTGCCTACAGAAGAAATCTCAATTTCTCACCTGGGACACCACCTGCCTCTTTCATCTTCTCATTTCTCTCAAAGCAGAAGGCCTTCTCAAGGAACCACCTCTGAGTCCTTGCTCTCTCCATCCCATCATCAGTGCCCCTTTCCAAACCCTCTACCTTTCCAAATCCCACCCATCTTCATCCTCCAAGAAGCCTTTCCTAAGTAACCCAGAGGGCAGAGCCAAGCCCACAGAGTAGAGTTAGATGGAGGCAGATTTTAGCTCAATGTAAGGGAAAGCTTAGTTCTGCCTTCTGGATATGCAGACAAAAACACTTAGGTCTTCCACAAGATAGCTCTTCAGATAACTGAAGAAAGAGCTAATATACTCATTTCTACAGCAGGCAGAAAAGCCAATGCTCTGTCAACTATGCCCCATAGATGGGATCTCAACCCTTCTTTTCTGTCCATCTGACCCTTAGGAGTTTTAGGAATTTGGCCTACCCCAGGCATGTGGGCATGGGAAACTCAGTAAGCATTGGACCCCCACCCCCTCGCCCATTATGACAGAAGGAAAACTGTGTCTTCTAGCCCGGAGTCCTGTCCTTCTGTTTTCTCTTGTTCCCATACCTTCCCCGGCCCATAGTCTCAAAAACACCTACAGGGGACTCAGAAATTGGCCACCCACTCCCATTTAGGGCCCTAGATACCTGTGTGGCTGCACCTGGCAACCTAGCATTTGCAGACCCTGAGCTGGGGAGCCCTCTGTGCCCAGCATGAGCATGGTGGTCACTTCTACGGCCCCATCCCGCAGCCAACAGTGATGAGAGTGACATCATCCATGCGGTCCGAGTGGAGAAGAGTCCAGCAGGGAGGCTAGGCTTCAGCGTGCGAGGTGGCTCTGAGCATGGCCTGGGCATCTTCGTCAGCAAAGTGGAAGAGGGGAGCAGTGCAGGTGAGTGGGGCTCTCATGAGCGAGACCCTAGCCTAGGGGATGTGACCCCCAGCTCGGCAGGGTAGTGGGTGCTATTGTCAGTGATGGGGAGACAGAGTCCCCAGTTCTGGGGGGCCGGATCCAATGGGGAGACAGAACTCACCCTCAGGGTAGAGTGGGGGTAAGGGACAGGACCCTAGTGCAATGGGGAAAGGGACTCCTACTTTGGGGATCTCTAGTCTGATGGGGAAGGCTCAGCTCCTACCTGGGGGACACTTCTCCCAAGGGTCCCATGACAGCCACCCTCCACTCCTGGTGCAGAGCGGGCTGGCCTGTGCGTGGGAGACAAGATTACGGAGGTGAATGGGCTGAGCCTGGAGAGCACCACGATGAGCAGCGCTGTGAAGGTGCTGATGGGCAGCAGCCGTCTACACATGATGGTGCGGCGCATGGGCCGTGTGCCGGGCATTAAATTCTCCAAGGAGAAGACCACATGGTGAACAGTGCCCAGCGCTGGCCCTGGCCTTGCCCCGCCCCTACTCCATCACCACCACCACCCAAAGCCCATTGGCAGGAGAGGCTGAGGAGACCAAGGTCTGCACAGGGCCTGGCTTGTGTGACTCCGTCCCCCGAGATCTTGAAATTGAGGAAAGGCCCCAACTCTGCCCCTAACAGCTCTGCTCTCCCAGATGCCAGCGGCCCTGTCTTCCACATTGTTGCTGCTCTGAAACCTGGGATAATATAGCACCTGCCCCACAGGAAGGTTGGGAGGTTTAGTGATGGGACTGGCACATTGTAGCCACTCAGTAAAGAGAGGTGCTATGATGGGTCACCAGATTTGATGAAATGTATGCCCCATGGAAGGTCCCAGGCCTGGGGAGTCCCCAAAGGCAAGCACCCCTTTCCCACTCCCCTTTCCTGTGGTGTTGTCAGGGCTGCTGAGAGGAGATGAGAAGGGTGGTGGTGGATGGGGGTCCTGGGCTGAGGGCCCCTTGCTGTTGGCTCAGGGTGGATGTGGTGAATCAGCGGCTGGTAGTGGAGAAATGCAGCTTGACGCCATCTGACAGCAGCTCAGAGGATGGTGTGCGGCGCATCGTTCACCTATACACGACCTCCGATGACTTCTGCCTGGGCTTCAACATCCGTGGTGGCAAGGAGTTTGGCCTGGGCATCTATGTGTCCAAGTGAGGGCTGGGGCAGGGAGAGAAATGGGGTAGGGCTGAGGTAAGGCTGAAAATGAGGCCTGGAGTGGGACCTGGGGATAGGCCAGCAAGTGAGGCCTGGCCAAAAACATGCCCAAATGAAGATCTAGATCAAGGGAAAGGCCTGGGGGAAGGGGAGGGGTCATCAGAAAGAGAGTCAAAGAGAGAGGTGGGGTCACCAGGAGGAAGGTCAAGGAGTTTGACTGGGGCATCCCTGTATCTAAGAGAGATGGGAGTCTAGAATGGCCTAAGGAAAGGCAGGTCAGGCGGCCTATCAGATTGATACCCATCTGCCCCCAGAGTGGACCATGGTGGGCTGGCCGAGGAGAATGGCATCAAGGTGGGGGACCAGGTCCTGGCGGCCAACGGTGTCAGATTTGACGACATCAGCCACAGCCAGGCCGTGGAAGTGCTGAAGGGCCAAACGCACATCATGTTGACCATCAAGGTGGGCAGGGCTATGGGAGTCAGGGAGAGGTCAGATTGGAGAGGACTTCCCAGACCACCCTAGTACTTAATTATGTCCATTGCTCTGCACTTTGTAAGACATTTTCACAGAGATGTGGGAGGTAGGGCAGGCATTGTTCTCATACTTATTTTGCAGAAGAAGAGACCGAGGCTCAGAGAGGCAAACCAACTCAGGAACCATAGTCAGTTACTCAGCTGACCAATGGCAGGGCCTGGTTCCAGTCTTGCTGCCCAGACTCCTAGGGTAGTGCTCCTTTCTGTGAGTGGTGGAGGCCTAGGGTTGAAAGGACAAGGGTAGGGTGATAGCTGAGCGTTGGGCAGGACCTCGGTAGTGGGCATCCTCAGGGCTCCAAAGGAGGGCTGAGCCGGGGCTGGAGATTAGGTTTCAGGGGAGGCAGCTAGATTCATTATTCATGCAGAACTCACACTTGCCTGAGGATCAGGTAGGTCCTTCTGCTCTGGTTCCTGTTGGAAGTGATGCTTCATGCTCCTCCAGTGCCCAGTCCTGGCCCGTGCTCTACCTTTCTCCTTTCCCCATGCCTTCACCCATCTTGCCATTCAGTGCTTCCTCTGCTATTCTCCCTGCCCCCACCACCACCTCTTTCCCACCTCTCCCACATCCCATTTCTCCACTTCTTTCCTCTTAAAATTATCCCAAACACCCCTCCTAACTCCCACCCTTCCCCTCATTCATTCATTCATTCATTCAACAATGTTTTTGAGTACCTACTATGTGGCAACCACTATGCCAAGCACTGGGGCTATAACAGTGAACAGGACAGACAAGGTCTCTGCTACTGAGGGAGACAGACAAATAAACAAGATACCTGCAGACTGTGACAAATGCTATAAGGAAATTAACAGAAAGATGGAATAATTTAGGAAAGGCTCTTTTAGCCGGGGCGGGGTGGGGGGGGGGACATCAGGGCAGGTCTCTCTGAGGAGGTGACAATTGGAGGGAAAGAAGGAGCTAGCTGTATAGTGGGCTAAAGGAAGAGATTCCAGGCAGAAGGAACAGCAAGTGCAAAGGCCCTGAGGTACAAAGGAACTTGGCATGTTCAGAAATAAAGTGGAGAGTGTGGCTAGAGGATGATGAACTTAGGGGAGACAATGGAGTTGAAAAGTTTACTCCTGTCCCATCACTTGCCCATTCTTACCCTCTCTCTCGTCTGCTCCCGCCCACACTCCTCTGCTCACATGCCCTGCCCAGGAGACCGGCCGGTACCCTGCCTACAAGGAGATGATTTCTGAATACTGTTGGCTGGACCGACGTAAGTGGCTCAGGCCTCAAGGTTGGAGGGAAACGGCTGGTCTGGGGGTGGGGTGGGATCTCTGAAGAAGATAAAAGCTCTAAAGTCAGCAAATCAGTGGCAGGTTGCTGAGCAGCCCGTCCCCCAGACACTGTGGTTCCACATGCTCATACCCCACCTCCGAAGCCCAGGGGTGGTTGCAAGCCCTGCAGCAACTAGGCCAGACCCCTGAGATGCCCCTGCCTCCCCCCTCCCTGCAGTGAGCAATGGGTTGCTACAGCAGCTGTCCCCGGCCTCCGAGAGCAGCTCCAGCGTCTGCTCCTACACTTCCAGCGTCCCCTACAGCTCCACCGAGGGCTCAGGCTCCTTGCCCTCTGATCGCATGGATATCTGCCTGGGACTGGAGAAGCCTGGCAGCCATGAGCCAGGCTGGGGACGGTCAGACACAGCTATGCAGACGGAGCCGGACATGGGAGCCCTCGTGGAGACCTGGTGCAGTGTGCGGCCCACGGTCATTCTCAGGGACACAGCCATCCGCTCTGACGGTCCCCCATCTGCCCGCCGCCTTGACTCTGCGCTCTCTGAGTCTCCCAAGACTGCTCTGCTGCTGGCCCTCAGCCGACCCCGGCCCCCCATCACACGCTCCCAGAGTCACCTGACCTTGTGGGGTATGTGGGGGACAGATGGCTGCTGCTCCCTCTGCAGCCCCTGGTCCAAAACCTGCCTCAGATCCTGTCCTGGGCCTCAAATCTCTGCTCCAGTCCCTGGCCCAGGTCCTGCCCTCGCCTCAAACCCAGCCCTGGAGTATATTCAGCCCCTACCCTGGGCTCCATTTTAACTAATCCTGGACTCAAAATCCACCCTCAGTCCTAGCCCCAGCTCTGGTCAGCCTGAGTCCCAAACCAGTCCTAACCCCAGCCCATCCATCCCAGGCTGCACCCTGACCTGTATGCATACACGCACGCATACACCCACACACTCTCAGCCGCTCCAACTGGCCCTCAATGGAAATTCCTGACAGTTTTTGCTGTGGGGTAGTGGGAGGGGGTGGGAGGTTGGAGGAGGACGGAGGAGGAACGCCCCCCCGCCCCCCCCACCCCACACAGCTGCAGATCCTGTCTGCCTCCCCTACTCCCCCTTCTCTCTGCCCCTTCCCACACCCCTGCTGCCCCCCCCATCCTTCCCTTCTGCCCACTCCTCCAGTCCCTCGGGTGCTCCCTCGTGTCTGCAGAGGAGAAGAAACAGCTGAAGAAGGAGAAGTCGGGGGCCCCTGGGGAGAAGGGTGCCCTGCAGCGCTCCAAGACACTGATGAACCTCTTCTTCAAGGGAGGGCGGCAGGGGCGGATAGCAGGGGATGGGCACAGAGAGGCCTGGACGCTGGACGGCGGGAGCTCAGCCAAGTCCCGCCCTCACCTGGACATGGAAAAAGGTGAGTGCCCGATTGATCAGATACGGAGGATGGGGTAACGTTCACCACCTTTGGTATCTGGCAGTTCTGGGTTTAAATCGCAGCTAGCTATGAGATACCATTCAACCCCTGTGAGCCATTTCCTCCTTGGTAAAGTGAGAGTGATCATACTTGTTTCTTTAGAAATAGTGAGGAGTAAGTGAATGAGTGAACGTACATTACTTAGCATACAGAAGACCTGGCACATAAAAGAGGCTCAGAAAACGTAGTGGTCATTGTTATACTGCCTCATCTCCCGTTTTATAGAAGGAGACACTGACAGTCACAGCATAGCAAGGAAGTGGGAGAGCTTGAATCAGGGAGCACTCCTTTCCTGCAGCATTTGGCTTCACCTCCCCTGGCCAGAGCTCCACAGGTTCTACTCAGTTCTAGAACCATCCTTGAACAAGGCCATTTCTTCATCAGGGCCCAGGCAAAAGTGCCCAGCCCAAGCTGTACTCATGCCAGGGACTTCTTAAGGACCCTCACAAGAGGCCCTCTCATCTCTCTGGTGAGGTTCAGAGACTAGACAAGAGTGAATGAGTGAAGGCTCTTAGGGTTGCATGTGAAAGAAACTCAACTCCAACTAGCTTAACAATGCATTTCATGGCTTAACTACTGATTTAAGCTGGGTCTAAAGGTTTAAACAGTATCATTAGACATCCGTCCCCTCACCTTTTGGTTCCACTTTCCCATGGGTTGGCTTCATTATCATGCAGGCTCTGCCCACTTGGAAGTAAGATGACCTCCAGCACTTAGCAACCCCTGGAGAAAGACAGCTTTTCCTTCAGTAGTTCCAGCTTAAGTCGAATGGTGGGCTCTCACTGGGGCAGGTGGTATCACGTGCCCAGCTGCACAAATCGCTGTGATATGGGAGGGGGGGGGCTTTCATCGGCCAGCCTGGATCACGTGCCCACCCTGGAGAAAGGGGGTGGGGTGGGTCCCCAGGTGAAAATCAGGGTACAGTTTCCAGAAGGGGATGTGGATGTCAGGCAGATAAAAACAACGAGAGGACGAGGAGCTGGGTCCTGCCCCTCCCTGGGAGGTTGAATATTCTGGGGTCTCAAGGTGACAGTCCCATGGGAAAGATAATCCCTTCAAAGTAGGGCAGGCCAACCCTCCTGCCTCAACCCATCTGTCTCCCCACAGCTTGCAGGGCCCTGGCCTCTCCAGGTTCTCCTCCCACTTCTCTGGCCACTCCTCTCTCTTCTTCAAAGGCTCCTTTTTCTCCCTCTGTCTCCTGAAGGTAGGTGCTCCCCCAAGCTCTGTCTTTGGAGTTCTTCCCTCATATATTTGCTCTCAAATGAATCTCCATAAGCAGAGCACAGACTGCACCCTCTCCTGATCCAAACCCTTCACTGTCTCCCCATTGCCAATGAATGAAGTTCCTAGCCTGAGCATGGCCTTCAAGACCCTCATGGCCTGGCCTCTTCCTCCCTGTCGAGCCAACTCTGAGTCTTCCCAACCCCTGTTCTCAGACTGGGGCCAGGGCCTGTGGCTGAGCTTCTTTCTTTTTCTTAGCAGGGTCAGTGGGGCCTGTGCAGAAGTTTGTCACCTGGAGACTGAGACGAGGTAAGTCACACATTCTTTTACCAAGGTCTGCCTTATAGTAGAGCTACTGATAGGGGTGCATGCTCGGGGATAACTATGGAGCTTTGGGCTAAACTCAGTTGGCGACAAACATGGGTAATCCAGAAGATAGGAAGGTGCATATTGGCAGGCAGCTAAAAGAAGCTTAAATTTACTGGTAAACATAGGGTTGTAACAGAAAGATAGGCTGTAGACAGATATTGGGGTACATAGGGGACTGAGGGGCTTGGGTTGGAACTCTCAAAGAAAGATTTTGAAGAGATGAGGGAGGGAGCCTCTGCTAGGACTCCAGTAGGGGACAGACCGGTATGAGAGTGCATGTTCAGGGAAGGAAGACTGGTGTGGGGATCTGTTGTGGGGGCAGAGGGTCTGGGCTTGAAGCTCCGTTGGTGGGAGACCATGGTGGGAAGCATCTGTGCCAGGCTGCCATCCAGGACATCTGGACCCCTCAGCTGGTCTATTCTGGGTCCTGATTCCCCCAATGAAGGAAGCCCCTGCCCCTCTCGCATGGTTCCTGGTTCCTTCACCACACGCCTTCGCTCCCGCTCCGTAGACCGGGAGAGGGGCCAGGCCCTGCTCTCTGCCAGGTCTGGGAGTCCCTCCAACCAGCTGCCCAATGTTGATGAGCGGGTGCAGGCCTGGGAGAGCCGACAACCCCTTATTCAGGACCTGGCCCGGAGGCTGCTGACAGACGATGAGGTGTTGGCGGTCACTCGTCACTGCTCTCGGGTAAGCTCCCATCCAGCCCTAGCCCATGGTCACTCAGTCACCTAGGTCCTCATGAATTCAAGACACTCGGTCACCTAGTCTCTCATTTATTCAAGCCACTGCCCACTGACCAATATCTGGGCCCAATGCTGAGAGGCCAATAATCAGTAAAAGCAGATGCCCTCCTTCTCCTCCTCCCCAGAGCTTAATCAGGAAGGGAAGGCAGACAATAACTAGAACCTAAACACATGGAGTCGCCATGAGCCGGAATCAACTCGATGGCAACAAACAACAAACACCTATAGCTCCAAATCATGTCAAATGCTATGAAGGAAGAGAACGTGAGAAAATAACCCAGGAGGCGCAAGTTAGATGGTGTGATCTGGAAGGCCTCCCTGAGGAGGTGATATTTAAGCTGAGGAGAGAAGGAGCCCAGAGGTGATGAACGGGGGCAGTGAGTCCCTGTAGTCCCCTGCCTCTGCTGTCATCTAAGCTCCAGACTTTCCCTCATGCCTCCTTCTGCTCCTGGGTCAGCCAGCCGGCCCTGCTCCATGCCAAGTCCCCTTTCCCATTACCCAAGTAACTAGTAATCCTTTGTCCCCCATACACATCTCAAGCCCTCCCCAGCACAGCCACTGTTGTTCTGTGTTCCCTTCCACATCAAACAGAACCAGAGGGATGGAAATTAGATCTGAGCGAGAGCTTGTAGCCTGAATGTTGGGGAGGCTGCAGGAGCCGCGGCTCCGCCTCTCCAGGAAGACTGGAGGGTCCTCCCCCTCCCTCTGGATTTCTGTCATGAGTTTCCTGGGGTGGACTTTCATCAGTGCACACATGATCCTGTTGTGCAAGGGCAAGCGGAGGAGTACCAGGAAATTGTTTGTGGATTCCCCCACCTGCTCACCTTGGCCAGGGTGGGGCTGTGTTGTATGTTTGTTAGATGTGTGCATTTGTATGTCTGTGGGACTGGGTGTCGAGGTACCTGGGTTTGTGTTGACATGACTGTACGATTGTATCTGTGTGTGAGAGCGTGCACGTGTCTGGCTAATGCATGTGTGTGTCCGTGCATGTTGGGGTTGGTGTCACGCTCAACTCTGAGCACTAAATGGGGCTATGTATACCATCCTCCTGTGAGCCTGCAGCTTTGGGCTCTGGCCACTAGGTGGGGCTCTGTGTGTGTTTCTTTGGTCAGCTCCTTCTTCCCTTCCCTCCACTCCTCCTACGTAGCCCAAGCCAGGACCTTCTCTCACTGGGCCCTCAGATCACCTGAAGAGCTTTATATACCGTCCAAACCTGACCCAAGCCACATCCGCAGTATGAGATCATACCATCTGGGATGGGGCTCTGGACTGAGGAACTAGTAAAGCTCCCCTAGTGACTTGGATGCATAGCCCTGAACCTCAAGCCTGTCCCCTCTCTCCCCTTCTAAGCCGTTTCTCCACAGCCGCCAGACCAGGCCTTAAAAACCATCTCTCTGATCACTTTACATGCCTCACTACCACCACCACCCCCCTGCCAGCAACCCCTTGTCTTTGGCAGAATGGAGTACAAACTCCTTACCCTCACATCCAAGTCCCTTCCTGATCTGACCCCTTCCCCCAGCCTGAGCTTCCCCATCATCTTCCCATGGCACTGTGTAGTTTATAGAGGCTCTGAACTGTACAACTCTAGGGGGTGCTACTCACAGGTCGTAGTCACAACCTGCGCAGCCCTACGTGGAGGCCCTCCATGTACCCTACAGTTAAGCTAAACCTCTATCTACTCGCTATTCCACTTTATCCTTGAAGCACTTTCCTCCCATCTTTCATGCTGTTCCCTCCACCTGTCCTGCAAGAGTTACTGTAAATGCCATTGCCTCCATGAAGCCCACTCTGACCTCCACCCTCCTCTGAGACACCCCCCCCCACCCCGCCACTTCATTGCTAGTATTTGTAGTTCACTGGGGCACGTGATACATTCTGTACCTTACTCTCAGTAGACTGAGTCCCTGGGGGTTCGGGACAGGGTCTTCATTGTGCCCCCACTGCTCAGTACAGGGCCTGGCACTTGAGTGCAGAATGCAGGTTTGTGGACTTGAAGTGTGTGTACATGTGTAGCTGGTTTTGTGCAATTAGGCATATCTCTGTCTCCAGACAAAAGGGATTATATGGTCCTGTGTGTACGCGTGAGTCCCTCTTACTTTGTGTGGTTTAGGGCCACGCACAGAGTTCATATTTTATGTATTTCTAGATACTTGTGAATGACTCACTCTGACCACCAGGGCATGCCATTATCTCTGTGTCCAGGCCTACAGGCAATGCTCTGTGTATGCGTGTGTATCTCTGAACCAGTATGTGTCTCTCTCACCACCAGGGGGTGGTATGCTGGCCGACTAGGGTGGCTCCCAGAGTTCAACTCGCCTGCGTCGGTTGCGGTGGGGAGTGGCTGGTGGCATCTGGGCAGTGCCAGGCAGAGGGGGCTCCACCCCCAGGGTACTAACTGGAGAGGCCTCCTGTAGAGCCACCCCTCCCCCCAGGTCCCCATCTCAGCCCTGAACAAAGCCTAATTTGTAGGTCCGTGTATAGATACACACTGGGACAGCCAGGCCCACAGTCTAGTGTTTGGCTCAGATTCCTTCCTTCTGCCTGGGAGGTGAGGATGTGGAGGAGAGTCCACTCCCTGTACACCCTTTTGGGTACCGGAGCCGGCAAGATCCAGTCCCTCTTCATACTTCCTTATCTGTGTGGCCTTGGGCAAAGTCCTTCTCCTCTCTGAGTCTCAGCTTCCTAATATGTAAACTGGGAATCGTTAATGTCATCTCCAAGCGTGGTTGTAGGGCTAAATGAGACTGTACATAAAATGCTTAGAACAGTGCCAGTCCCAAAGCTGTTACTGTTTTTGCTATTACAGGTCTATTATTATTATTTCAGGCTCTCACCTAGTTGTCAAGATAAGACCATACTGTGGACAGCCTGGGGGTGTGGAGAACCTTTCCTAAAGCTTGGAGGGGAGGGTGGGTCCCAGGGCCCCTGTATGCCCTGGTATTTGCCCTCACCCAGCTCTGGAAGTCCTCACTGCTATAGGACCTGTGGTCCATCTGTCTGCAGTACGTGCACGAGGGTGGTGTGGAGGACCTGGTGAGGCCCCTGCTGGCCATTCTAGACAAACCGGAGAAGCTGCTGCTGCTGAGAGACATCAGGTGGGGAGGGGCTCCTGATACCCTCCCCCAACCTCCCCAGGGCTGAAGCCTTCCCTGCACCTTCAGAACTAAGCCCCTGCCCACCCCCCACCTCTTGGCTTCTCCCAGGAGTGTAGTGGCCCCCACAGATCTGGGCCGCTTCGACAGCATGGTGATGCCCGTGGAGCTGGAGGCTTTCGAGGCCCTCAAGAGCAGGGCAGGTCAGCAGCTGGGGGGCAGGACTTCTGCATCCTGAGCCCTGCCCCCCAGGTGGGGATGGGGCTGAGGTCTCCCAGTGCAGACCGGGGTGGAGATTGCTGGTGACCCTTTAGCTGTGTCCAGCAGGGAGCGTGGCAAGGGCACCCTGCCTCTGACCTGTCCTCCTCTCCAACCAGTGCGGCCCCCTGCTTTGCGGCCAGCCCGGCAGGACACACCACCCAAGCGTCACCTCATCACCCCTGTGCCTGGTCAGTCAGAGTTCCAGGGCCTCAGGAGGGGACACAACACCGGCGAGATTGGGAAGGGTCAATAGGCCTCCTATCCCAGCCCTTCATGGGGCAGTTGTGGCTTGGGAGGTACTTGGAGATTCTCTGAAGGAAAGTTGTCATCCGCCAGAACCATTTGTATCACATCCACTCACCACCTGTACTATGATTTACTTAATCATTGTTTTTAAACCCACTCACTTTTTAAATTTAGTCTTGTTCTATGCAATAATCTCTGAGAAACCACCAGTTTAGTGTGCTATTTATATTTTTTCTCAGACACATTAAAATAAAACTGTAACCATACAACAGAAAGTATTAAAATACTATTGTAATAGAACCTGTTGCCTGCCCCAGTGGGAAGTGGCCCTCACTAAGGGAAATGCTGCTGTCGGGCCTGAGCAAACCCAGGCCTGGTTCTCATAGGCCCTTCACACACAAAGGCAAGGGCTAGGGTCTAGAAGGGTGGTCTGGGCTGGGAGCCCCGCTCTTGCTGAGAGGTAAGGAGGGGTTAGCCTGACCTTGGCTTTCTTCCCCAGACAGCCGTGGAGGCTTCTACCTGCTGCCTATGAATGGCTTCTCAGAGGAAGAAGATGATGGGGAGCTGAGGGAGCAGCTGGGGGGCCTCAAGGTCTCCCTGGGAGCCTCTGCCTCCCACCATCCCCACAAAGGGTTCCCCCCTCTCCAAGATGTGCCAGTCGATGCCTTTGCCCCACGCCGAAGCACCTGTGCACCCCATCCCCAACCACCTCCTGTTGCGCCACGGCCCCCGCGGCCTAACTGGCTGCTGACAGAGCCCCTGACCCATGAGGACCCTCAGCGTATCCAGAGCCAGGGCCTAACCCATAGCCGCAGTCGAAGCCGCAGCCGAAGTCGGGGCAAGTCCCCTGGACGCAGGCGCTCCCCGTCCCCGGCACCAGTCCCTACCCCGAGTACGGCCAACGGGCGCTACCACAAGCCTCGAAAGGCCAGGCCCCCTCTGCCACGGCCTCTGCATGAGCAGATAGCCAAGGTGGGGGACAGTCAAGGGCCTTCTGAGAATGGAACTGGCAGGACCCCAGCCAAGAAGGCAGCCCCGAAGGCCCCTGGTGGAGAATTGAGGACAGTCACCCTGTCCAAGATGAAGCAGTCCTTGGGTGAGTCCAGGTGGGATTGGGCCTGGCAAGGCAGACTCTTGGGTTTGGGTGAGATTGATTGGCTTGGTTTGGGGGTGTGGCTAGGGGGCTTGGGCCTAAGAAAGTATCCCTGGGGTATTGGGGTACAGTCGGCGGTCTAGATTTGAAGAGTTTGAGATCTGGAGGATCAGGGTTTTGAAGTGAGTTGAGGCTCGAGTAGTAACAAAATCTGAGGGTTTGAGAGAAGTTGGATGCCTTGGATTTGGGAATGGGGTACTGGGTGTCTACTGGGAGCTCTGGGTTTTGGGGTGTGGCTGCACGCTCACACAGTTGTTTCTTCCTCTCACTAGGCATCAGCATTTCTGGGGGCATTGAGTCCAAAGTGCAGCCCATGGTGAAGATAGAAAAGATTTTCCCTGGGGGGGCTGCCTTCCTCAGTGGGGCCCTTCAGGTGAGTGAAGAGCACCCAGGCTCACTCCCTAGACCTAGAGCAGGGCGTGTGCTGGGACAAACACATCTTTCAGCCAGACATGTTGAGACCAGGTCGTGGGAGGAGGCTTGAGGGCAAGGGTCAGGGGTGAAAGATGAGCAGGCCTAGGGAAAAATCTGTTCCCTCATGCCAGCCTGAGCCTGAGGGCGGCCCATCCTGTTCCATCCCAAGCCCCAAGGGACAAAGGGCCATTGTCGGCACCCCACCCTGCCCTCAGTGGCTCCAGGCACAAAAGTCTCATTGTCCACCCCCCTACACACACACCCAGATGGGGGAGGAATGCCCTAGCTGGTGGAGGTGAGAGGAGGCTGCCCTTAGGTTGGGTGGTGGGGTGAGGGTGAACTGAGGAGGGAGGACTGTGATTCTCCCACCCCTATCCCAGGCTGGCTTTGAGCTTGTGGCAGTGGATGGAGAGAGCCTGGAGCAGGTGACCCACCAGCGAGCAGTAGACACCATCCGCCGGGCTTATCGAAACAAGGCTCGGGAGCCCATGGAGCTTGTGGTCAGGGTCCCCGGGCCCGACCCACTACGCTTACCCTCTGACTCATCAGCCCTCAGGGATCAGCACCTTCCTGCTGACCCATCCCCTGCCCAGTGATCCCGATGCTAGTCCAGTCCCCTTCTACTGGTTCCCAGAACCTCCTATCAACACCCAGATCCCCCCTACTGATGCCCTTCTCACCAACACCGACACGCCACCCACTGACCCAGACCACACCCACTGATGCTCAGATCTCCTTCCCACTGATGCCAGGCTTCTCCTGCTGACCTCCAGCCATCCTCTCTTCAACACTCGAAACTTGACACTAAGAGATACAACCCCAGACTCTTCCGACCTATCCCATGACCCATCCCACTGATCCCTAGACTCCTCTTGCTGTCTCCTCTGAACCTGCTCAGGACTCCTACTCCTAGCGCTCCATACTGATTGCTCTGATCTTCACAATTTCCACCCTCCCCAATTATCACTAAGGCTCTGCCTTTTCTAGATAAACTTGGTGTCCAAGGACAAGGTGCTACTGGGTAGGCTGTCACCTGTGCTCATCTCCCCACCCCAGCCTCCCAAGACAGGGAGTCCAGAAACCCAAGGTCTAAAGCCTGAGATTGGAGGCACTTTCTCATGTCCCCATTTGGTTCCCCCAAGTACTGAGCGACATGGACTCTCAGGGCTCTCAAAGGGTTACCGCATCCACCCCCAGTCCAAAGCAGCACTCAGTGTTGAGGGACAGGATGGAAAGCTCTTCTAGTCCCTCAAACCATGAGAGACCATTTCATGTTGTGGTCCACTAGGACCTCTGACTTTCGACTGGATTTGCCTCTCTTCCCATAAGACCTCTGAGGGGTAGGGGAAGGAGGAAGGTCAAACAAGTTCCTATAGTCTTCATCCAGCATACTCACTTTTTTAAAAACAAATTTTTTTTTTTAATTTTTTTCTTTGGGTTTGTACAAGAAATTTACAGTGTGAAAAATGTACAAGTGAAAATGAGGCCATAAACCAGGGTGTTGAAAGGGGCCACTTGGTTACAAACACAAATAAACAAGACGTTTCTGAGTTCTTCCTTTGGTCTGACTACAGCCCCCTCACCCCATGAGAGGCTGCAGAGCTGGAACCCAGGGATCGGACCCCAGTCCCAGCCCTGTCCCCCAACATGGGCAGGGTGGGGGCAGGCACATCTGGAGCAGTTGGCGCTGTCTGGCTCTCTCTGGCTTGGGGTGGGGAAGAATGTGGAGATGAGAGAATCCCTTCCTCTTTCCAGCTCCCCTGGCTGGGGTGGGCTGGTGAGCATCTGGGGGTGACTGGGGTTGGCAGACTGACACTGGTAGCAGTTAGGGAGTGAAAACAGGTAAAGTGAGTAGGAGCTTCCAGGTGACAGTAAACACAGGGACCTTCAAGGGGTCTGATCTTGCTCCTCCAAGCCATGGAACCACCCCGAGTTCTTGGCAGCAGCCCAAACACCTGGATCCCAGGGGGCGAGTGGCTCTGGGGCTGTCAGTGGACCTTGGGGCCTGAGAGGATATGAGGCTGCTGCCACCCTTCAGCAGAGCTCCCTGCAGAGTTGGATGCCAAGGGCCCTAGATTTCGGTTGCAGTGATCTCCTCCAGACAGATGCAGGGGGCCGGCTCGGCCAGGCCCAGGTCGGCGAGCTCCCGGGCCTCCAGCTCCAGGCTGAGCTGCTGCAGCTCCTGTTCCAGCTGCCGGTTACGCCGGTACATCTGGATGTAGTTGTGCTGCAGCTGCTTCTGGTAGCGGATCACCTGCTCCTTCTCTGCCTGCCAGGCCTGCCGCTCCCCATCGAAGCTGTCCCGCTGCTCCTCGCCCCGTCGCCGCTCCTGCTGCAGCTCTGCCCGCAGCCGCTCTACCTGGGCCCGAAGGCTGCCCCCCACCCCAGCTGCTGCCCGCTGCACCTTGGCCTCATCACTCTCTGCCAAGAGGAAGGGGTCAGCGGTAGCAGGTGGCACAGGGGGCTCCCGGAGTCCAGCCACCTCAGCATCCAACTGCCCAGCTTTCTCCCGTAGCCGCTCTGCCTCTTGGCGATGTCGCTGTAGCTCCTGGGAACAGGCTTCCAGCTCCAGCTCCCGCGCCCGGGCTGCCTCCTGGAGGCCCCGTGCCCGGCCCTCACTGACCCGCAGCGAAGCCCGGGTCTCCCGCAGCGCCACCCGCAGGGCCACCAGCTCACTGCCCTTCTGCACCAGCTCTGCCTGAGATTCCTTCAGTTGCTGCTTCAGCAGGGATATCTCGCCTGACTTCTGACACACCTGGGCAGGGGAGGAGGAAGAGGTGGTCAGGAAGGATGGTGAGAAGGGTTTACCCTGGGGATCAGGCCCTGAGCATCATGCTGGCAATTTGGGGAGAGGAGGTTCAATCATTATCCCATTTTACAGATGCAGACACTGAGGCAAGCGTGATAACATGTCCAAGGTCATATAGCTAGCAAATGGCTAAAGTGGAGAACAGACCCAGATCTTTGCCCTTCAATGCTGGTTGTCTTTAAATCATGAGATACTGTGGAAACACTGCCTAATCCTGCCTGAGGAGTTGCAAGAGTGGGAGCAATTGAGGGCAGTGCCCACATTTCTGGTTGAGAGGCAGTACAGTGTATTAGTTAAGAGCACAGAGATCACAGCCAGATTGCCTGAGTTCAAATCTCAGCTTGGCCACTTACTAGGTGTGATTCTGGACTCCAGCCTTTCTGGGCCTCAGTTTCTTCATCTAGTAAAATGGGGTTATTAATAGCACCCACCTCATAGAGTTGTTCTAAGGATTAAATGAAATATTCTAGGGAACATGTTTAGAACAGTGCCCGGCACATAGCAAGCATTAGATTCTTATTACTGGTTGGAAGGAGGCTAGGACAGGGATATGGGTGCTAGACCAGACCATGAGGAGACCCCCACCCAGAGAGGGACATCAGGAAGTCTTCTTCATACAAAGGCGAGGAAGGGGAGGCATTCTGTGGTGGCAGGCTGAGGGGGTGTATGACCTTTGTGCCCCTGCTCCCCATTCCTCCTGATCTGGCCCACCTCCCACTTGGTCTCCTCCAGCCGTGGTCCGAGCTCCCGCTGTTCCCGCTCGAAGGTGGCGCAGCGCCGCTCCAGCTGCTCCCGCTCCTGAAGCAGCTGAGCAAAGTCATCCTGCAACTGCCGCTTCTCCTGCTGCAGCTGGAACACCTGCAGCTGCAGCAGCTGCTGGGCCCGCTGGGCCCGTTGTGCTACCTGCTGTGCCTGGGCCGCACAGTCCTCTCGCAGGGCCTCACGCTCCCGCTGCCAGTGCCGCTGCTGATCCTCATACACCTGTGGGCGAGAAGGCAGACCTGGGTCTGGACCCGCTCCCCGGAACTTGAGCCTGTCCGCCCCAATGCCCCACTCACTGACGGCTCTGGTGGGCCCCTGGCCTGGGCTCAGGGAGGGTCGATCCCATTAAATAAGAAACACTCTGGCAATAATAACAACTACCTTTTATAATAATAATAGAAATCATAACAATGATACTAGCAGGCACTTACATAGCACTTCTTAGGTGCCAGGCATTACTCTAAGCACTTTATACCCTTTGCCTTATTTAATCTTCACAATAATCCTATGAAGCCAGAAACAGCCCCATATATAGATGAGGAAACTGAGGCTCAGTGAGACTAAGTGGCTTGCTCAAATCCAACAGATAGTGAATGGAGGTGCTAGATTTGAATCCACGCAACCTGACTCCTCACCACTTTACAGGTGAAGCTAGACGGCTGGGGTAAGGGTGGGTTCACAACAACTGCCCAAGAACCACCCCAGCACCCATGAAAATGCTCCTTGTACTCCCAGCACTTCTGCTGCTCTGCCATGCCACCCCTGATGATCGCCGCTGACCACACCTGACACACGGTCACCTCGCTCTCATCCAGGCTGTCCCGCAGCTGCTGCAGCTCCGCCTCCCGATCGCGGAGCTTTCCTTCCAGGACACAGTGCAGCAGGGCCTCATCTGAAGGCGGCGGAGGGGGCGGGGGTGGTGGGGAGCGCTCCCCACAGGAACTGCTGTCAGGGGAGGGCCGGGGACCACTGCCCAAGAGGCCCCCCGCCATGCGGGCCCCCAGGGAGCCGGTGCTCTTGCTGGAGGAGGACCGGCCACTGTCCGAGTGGGAGGGCCCAGTAGGGGCCCTTCGGGCTGGCCCAGGCAATGCTCCCCGCCCAGGGCCATGGGAGGGCAGGTGTCCTCCGGGAGAGTTGGTGGCCGGCTCGGCACCCCCGGTGCTGTAGGTAGGCAGGCTGGACAGTGAGTTTCGGCCAGAGTCGGACAGTGTCCCAGAAGGGCAGCCGCTGGCCCAGCCACTCAGTGCCAGGGGCTTGTCGGCAGCCGAGGAAGAGGAGGAAGAGGAGGAGGAAGAGGCAGGGCCCCCAAACAGCTGTGTCAGGCTCCCCTGGCTCCCAGACAGCCCGGAGGCCCGAGGACCCAGGAAGCTAGGTAGGGACGGTGCCCCTCGAGGTTTCGGCAGCACTGGCTTGAAGGCTGTTGGGCGGATCAGGATTTTCTCCATGTTCTGAAATGAGGTGACCACGTAACACTGGGGATGAGCTGCCCAATCTTTCCAAGCCCTTATCACAGTTCATGCCCTCCTACCCGGGGTCCCAATCCCCATACATTAATAACAATTGCTAACATCACCTGGTGGCACAGTGGTTAAGAGCTTGGCTGCTAACCAAAAGGTCAACAGTTCAAACCCACTAGCGGCTCCTTGCAAACCCTACGGGGCAGCTCTCTGTCCTGCAGGTCACTACAACTCAACAGCAACAGGTTTGGTTTTTGGTTTCCCATCAGCTGAGAGCCTACTGAGTGTCAGCTTTATGTCAAGTAATTTTAAAAAGTTCGTCTCTAATCATTACAACAGCCATTCGAGCAAAATAGTATCACCATCCCCATATTACAGATGAGGAAATGGAGGCTCAGCTAAGCTAAGGACTTTGCCCAAAGTCAAACACATAGTTATAATAATCATTTAAGCAGCTAACATTTACTGAGTATATGCTATGTGCCAAGCACTATGCTAAGCACTTTACGTATTTTGTTTAATTCTCAGAACAATCCTATTCAGGCTGACCTCTTGTCTCCAATTTACAGATACTGGAATCGAGGCTCAGACAGGTTAAGTGACTTTCCTGGGGTCATATAGCTATAACAAGGCAGACCTGGGGTCAGAACCCAGGTTTGGTGAATCTGTAGCCCACAGTCTTTCCTCTAAACAGACCTCCAAATTCCAGCTTCCCCAGGGGATTCCTGACTCCACCCTGTCCCACAGGAAGGGCTGGTCCTCACCTTCTCCAGCTTTCCAGAGACAGGGATGAGCTTTGGTGGGGGGCCACGGAGGTGGGCGTTGTGTGCCCGCTGCTCTCGGGCATCCTCAACATCACTGCTGGGGCTGGGGGGTGACTCTGTCCGGAAGTCCTCATTGATGTAGGTAAAGCTGGTGACAGGGACAGCCTTCCTGGGGGGTACATCTGGGCATAGTGGCTCCTGTGCCCCATAGCCACCCCGCAGCAGACCATCTTGCTGGCGGAAGAAGGTGGGCCCAGGGGGGCCATGGTGGCGGGGAGGAGCCGGCCCCCCCGGGCAGGGCCGGCCTGAGATGAGGCTGCTCACGCTGCCCATGGCTGGAGTTTGTGGGGCAGTGGTGGCCTCAGGCGTGGGCTCCAGTGGCACTGGCAGAGTCTGCACAATAGCCATGGCGGCAGAGGCTCAGGCCTGGCCAAGGGCCTCCAGGGCAACCTGTGAGCAGGGTCATGGTATCAGAGTCCCTCCCTACATCCACCTTGAGCCCCCTCCCTATACTAGGCCCTGAATCCCTCTCCTGAGTCCTTGTCCCAGGCCAAATACTGCTACTAGTAACAAGCCCTGACCACCCCCCCACCAAAAAAAAAAAAGCTCCCCTTCCAAGCACTGGCATGAACCTCAATTCTCCCTGGACTCCAGATCACTGTGAACTTTGGTCTGGACAGGGCTGAGGATTGAGTCCACTGAGCAGAGATGATGAGGGAGACAGGAGGCCTGGCTGGTTATGCAGGGCCCCTTGGCAGCAAAAGTCAAAGCCCAAGCCCAAACCCATAACTCTCACAGAGGCCAGGACTCAGTGAGGGAAAAAGCCTTCCCTAACAGCTCCCAGCACAGGTCCCTGGTCCCCTGGGACAGGTGGCCTCATTACAGGGCAGTTTGGGCAAAGACAACCTCAGGAACGCTGTCAGCAACTCAGATGGTAATTAGAGAACAAACAGCCAAGACCAGGCAGTGCCCAGCCTCCCCCAGCTGGGCCTCAGTTTCTCCTAGCCAGACAGGCGGCAAGGGTGGAGCCTGCCAAACAAGAAACTGAGAGCTCTTAGGGAGCCCACAGGTGCCCTCTGGGGTCTCCTGCCTCTCAGAGGTCGCTGCAGGCTAACACTTGTTTCCATGACAACTCCTAGCCTCCCCATACCCAATCAGTCAGGCCTAAAGGAGCCTACACAGGCCCTGCCCCACTGCCAACCTCTACGAAAACTTCCAGCCTTAGCTAGTTCCCAAAAGTAACCCCAAGAGGATGAAGGTAGAAGAGCCTCCTTGAACAAATCCTTCCAAACCAAAGGCCCCACCCTCACCTCTGGCAGCTGCTCCAGGATCTCACTTCCCTAGAAAGGGGATAGCAAGCCTCCACCCGGAACTCCCTTCTCAGTCCTGAGGCCGATGACCAGAACTTAGGCATCTGCTGAAGTCATCATGCAGAGAAGGGGCCAAGAAGTGGACAGAGAGTTGTATGGGAGCAGGAGTGTGTGCATTTACTGGTGTATGTGTGACTATATGCATAACCTGCGTCGAGTTCATTCCGACTCATAGTGACCCTACAGGACACAGCAGAACGGCTGTAATATTTACAGTCTGCTTCCCTAAAGATTTATAGCCTTGGAAACCCTATGGGGCAGTTCTACTCTGTCCTATAGGGTGGTTATGAGTAGGAATCGACTCGACAGCAGTGGGTAATATTTACAGAAGCAGACCGCCACATCTTCCTCCCACGGAGCAGCTGGTGGGTTCGAACCGCCAGCCTTCTGGTTAGCAGCCAAGCACTTAACCACTGCGCCACCAGGGCTCCTTGACTATATGCATAATCAAAAACCAAAGCCAAACCCATTGGCGTCAAGTCAATTCCGACTCACAGTGACCCTAGAGGACAGAGTAAAACTGCCCCACAGGGTTTCCAAAGAGAAGCTGGTAGATTTGAACTGCCGACGTTTTGGTTAGTAGCCAAGCTCTTAACTATTGTGCCATCAGGGCTCCTGACTATATGCATAGGAGAAGAAAAATGAGCACTGTGTATATATGAGCGAAAATGTGTAGGAAAACATCATGAATGAATGTACGTGAGAGTATACATATGTTTGGATAATCAATACAATCTTGTGCATAGACATGAGTAATGTGTGAATTCATATGTACATCATATGTGTACATATGTGTACAATCTTACAAGAGTATATATGGGTAAATCCAAAACCAAACCAAACCCGTTGCTGTTGAGTCAATTCCGACTCATAGAAACTCCACGTGGCAGAGAACTGCCCCACAGAGTTTCCAAGGAGCAGCTGATGGATTCAAATTGTCAACCTTTTGGTTAGCAGCTGAGCTCTTAACCACTATGCCACTATTAGAAAGTATGTGAAAGCTATGAATTCATAGGTATATATAAGTGAATTTAATATACGAGTGAATATATCAGAGAATTATGTTTGGACAGATGTTATCAGTATATCATATACATGAGTTTATGTGTAAACTCGCGTATATCTTACACATGTGTATGAACAGGATGAACAGTATGTGTGTGAATAGGAAGGTGTGTACAAGTGTGTGTGAGCTTCGGTGGCATGCAGGGCCAACTGGGTGAGTGGGAGTCTGTTTTCTTCCCTCACTGGAGTGCAGGGAGATGTGAGACACACATTATCCCACTCCTTTCCCTAATCTGGTCCCCATCTTTCTTGCTTGTGCTCTGTAAGTTCACCTCCCTCTTCCCTGGAGGTCAGGAAGGTGTCCAGACCAAGGGGAGAGGAGCTGGGAGCTGGGGGTGAGCAGTGTCCGGGCAGAAATCACAGGCCCCTCTACAAGGCCCGAGGTGAGAGCACCCCACAAGTCCAGGCCTTGAACAAGGTGGATAGAACACCCCCTCCTCTCCTTCAACTCCTCTCTCCCCTCCCTGATCACTCCAGGCATAAGGAGAACAGTGGAGTGGAGAAGGGGCTTCTTAGGAACCCAGGGGAGCTAGCACCTCTGTCTGCATTTCCCCCACTTCAGTGAGCAGAGAGAAAATGAAAACTGAGGGGAGGGGACAGTCTCAGAGAAAGAAAGACCAATACCTCAAAGACATGAGACAAAGACTCGGAGAGGCCCAGAGGGTCAGGCAGACAAGCAGACCGGCAGACACAGGGAGCCAGGGCCCCAAAACTGAGGTCGGAAACAAAGCTGGGCCCCGAGAGCCAGACACCCAAGGAGCCGAGCCAGGCGTCTGGAAAGCCAGGCCCAGCCAGCCGGGGCTCCCGCTCTTGGAGCAGAGAGGGAAGGAGGGGCAAGCGGAGGCTCCATTTTGAGAAATGCGTTTGTGGCTGTGAGAAAAGGGAACCCCTCGCTCTCCCACTGCTCCATGGGAAATCTCCGTGGCACGGGAAGCCCCCGCTCAGTGGGTAAGGGGCTGGTGGGGGAGCGGGGGGCTCAGCCAGGGCCACAGGGGGATCTGGCCAAAGTCCAGGCTCCCACAGACCTCAGTTTTGCGGGCTGAAGAGTTGGGGAAAGTCTCCCCCCACCCAAACTCCAAGGAGCAGTGAAGCGGGATCAAGTCTGGGATCACGAGTTCTCATTCCGCGACAGGAAGCCAGGAGCCTCCAACCCACCCTCAAGAGTCCAAAAAAGCGCCCCTCCTTCCATAAAGTGGGGGCAGCTGTGGCATGCCGGTCCCCCACTGGCCCTCCAGCGTGCAGAAGGTGGGGGCGTCCCACGTCACCTCCCGGCAGCGACCCCCTCACCTCCGCTGCGCTGCTCCATGCTCAGCCCCGAGCCGCCCCCAGCGCTCCTCAGGCGCGCAGCCCGGCTCCAGCCCGCGCGCGGCCACTCGGAGCCGTCCGGCC